TTAGAATTAAGCTTATGATACAAATAAACTATAAACTTTTCCAAAATTATTCATTCGACAAGAACCATAGTAAAGCAGTAATGAAAAAGAAACTTAAGATCATAAATTACATCATAAATGTGAGAAAACCAAACATCTTACCACACTTTAAATTGGTCGGCAAATTGCCTTTGTAAGATGACCTATGAACTTTCACCAAATAAATGCTGTTGTTGTAATCATTTTAATAGTTTTGTGGTGGCTGAAAGTGTAATTTTTAATAACTCAGTTAGCCTACTGAAAAAAGCAAAAATGTTTGCAAAGTTAAACCTACTTGATAACTACAAAGCAGACAAATCTCTGTATTGATTTTTATTAGTCACTTAGATCATAAATAACATTATAAATGTAACAATTCTGAGTATATTTCCCTCCTCTTGAAGAGGATCCCTTCAAATCACCTTTGTAACTTGACATTCAAATGTGATTCAATTAAAACAAAATTTTTACAGCTAAAAAAATAACATATTGTATATATATTTTAATTATATATGCTATGTATACTTTTGGTATATTCTCATTCTTAATGTAAATTTGATGTTTTTTTTAAATCCATTATATTCTTCATTATATGATGACCAGATTAAAATACAGTATAGCCACCAGCATGTACTTCCAAATAGCAGACAAACTTCACACTCCCGATGGTGTCTGCTGTTCGGAGATTATACTGTACAATAAAAATTACAAAGTGTGTAAAAAAATTAACAGTAATAATAAAATGTAACATATGTAATGACAAAATATAGCATAATAAAAAATCATAAATTATGTATACAACTTTCTCTAAAACTGCAGATAGACTAGAAAAATTAAATGGTGTAACATACACATTAATAACTAGAAACTGTGGTGACAATATTTACAACATTGTGCTAGTTTGCCTACAGTTAGAAATAACTTATCATTGCTTGCCACACTTGTGATAAGTTAATGTTTTCTTTACTATTAATGCAACTTCCCCAAAGTATTGTTTTTTAAATTTTGCTGACTTATGTTATTCTTAGCTTTTAAATATTGAACGTAATGTTTAGAAGCTTAGCATCCTCTCTACATTGGAATATCCTGAGCTCACCTGCAAATTGGGCCATGGCATATTCTGATTATTAATGATGTATTAGTTGAGCCAATGTAGTCTAGGCATTGGTCAAGCCAGTATCTAATAATGAAATTTTATATACACTCAGGGCCCATCTGTTGTCTGTAGAGTCTTTTTCATTCATTATCAATCAAAAGACTGACAGGTTTTGTTTATATGCAATTATGTTACAACATTTAATTTTTTAGCCTATTTCCAGTTGTATTGCAAAAGTTATGTACAGTACATAGTTTATAATTTTTATATTATATTGTTATATTTCATCATTATGTATGTTACAGTTTATTATTACTGCTAATTTTTTATAAACTTTGTAATTATTATATTATGTTTGAATTTGTATATCATCATATTTCATGTATAACATTCCATTTAAAAATTTTTTTGATTAATTGCACTTCATTTATGGAAACATATAACAACATGACGAAAGTCTATGAAAGTGATAGAGAACTTCATTTTTGCAATAAATGCACCTGCTGGAATAAGTATAGAAGGTTCAGCAATTTGTTATATTATTTTCCAGTTTTTAGCAGTGTTTAATTGTACAATATGAAAAATACTAAATATTCTTTTAACATTGCCTAAACTGATTTTAATAAATTACACATTATCTAAGCAAACTTAGGTTTGCCATTAGCATCACATTACCACTTTACATTCATTTCATATATCAAATTTTTTTAAAATAAAAATGAAATAAGTAAATATTATTTTATTTTAAGTTAACTACATACTTTAAAATTATGTATCAAAATGGTTTTATATTTAACAGGACTAAGAAAAAATTAGAAATTCTGATAGTCATCTTTAATTGTCTGAAGGCTATTTTATTGCAAACTTACAGTAATAGTTACTACTTGTATCATCTACAAATAACTGTTTGGTTAATTTTCTTAAACTAATCTCTGACAAATCTTAATTATATATAAAAAGGATTCATTTATTTTGCTGTGTTGGGAGTTGAGGGTAAAAATTACATTTTGTTTTTTGAATTTTTTGGGGGTTTTTTAAAAATAAAAATTATATTTATTAACACATTCTAGTTAAGAAGTAATTTCATTATTATGAAATTATTAATCATTTATTATATAATTATCATAATTTTATGCAGATAACCCACAGGAAAGCTTAACCTGCATTGGCATATACCCCCAGAAAAAACTACTAGAATGAAAATACCACCTCTTCTGTATAATCTACATCACTAAGCTCTTTCCAGCATGCAGTTTACAAGATATCATAAACATTCCATTTTTTCTCCATTTCTTTAATTTTATTTATATTAGTAGTTCATTGTAGTTGTAATTATAAACAAATAAAAAAAAAACTCACTAGAAACACCAGAACATTAGAAAACAATATCATCATGACACATACATGAGAACAACCAAATACACACAAGGCAAGGCATTTTCCAAGAAGACAATGTTAAGTTCACTTCGGTTTTGTCTGGCCTCCAGTAGATTAAACAACACAAAATATAGATATGACATCAAACACAACAGAAGAACACAATACAAACACTAAAAACAATAAAATCTCAAAACCTGCCCACAAAATAGTATCTGGAGAATGGATATAATACTTATTGTATCTGCAGTCTTTCCTTGCACAGACTTCATACCATATATATTTTTTCTGCAACTATATCTTAACTGTAGTCTGGCATAACAATAGACAATGGTATTAATTCAGTAGGATGCATTTCACCAACACCGTAATAACAAATGCACAATATACATGCTAAAGTATTTACTGTTAACATAATCATTGTTGATTTTACTAAGAAGGCTGCACACAGACACTACAATATTCAATGACACAGGTTTGGGAGATGATTACTTAGCTCCTATTCATTGTAGAGAATTAGCATAAGCTAAAATAAAAAGTTGATTTTTAAATAGTTCTCTGAAAGTATAGTACATAGCAAAGGGATATTACCAGAAATGTATCTGTTTTTCAACATACAAGTTCACATAAGAGTGATTAATAATATCAATTAAAGCATGGATTGGCACAGAGAATGAATGGGAGAGTTGATGAGAGAACAAGTCGGCGATGACGTTTTACCATGCTATACGAGCCTCTTTTAGCATGTTATATGAACACAATCACAATTTTTTCGCAATGTTATATGAATCTGTGTTACATGAACTCGTGTTATAGGGGGTCTACTATATATCAAATTATTTTGTGCTACTGTATATCATTTTATTCATTAGCATGAATAAAATGATAAAATGGAAAGTCTATTGCTTCAGTAGATTAATGGGTGTACAAAGATGTGTTCTGTCTTTAAATTAATTAATTAAATGGTCTTTTCTTATCTTTACTTAAAAAAATCAGCTAGACTTTTATAATAAGCTGAAACAAAAAGAATAAACAATGGTGATGAAAGTATTGTGAAACTGAAATTTAAATGTAGCCTGGATGGTTTGATTAGCTTTTGTGATGAGGGTAATTTCATAGCTTAAAGGCTACTTACTGGAAAGATATTTCTGGTGTAGTTTCATTAACTATACTGTAATTATATTTCCACTTTATATAAGCTGTATACTTATCATATCATTCTTGCTTTTACTATATGTTAGTATTATTTCAGGTTTTATGTGTTATTTCATATGGTTTAGTAAGTTAATTTTGAATCTAAAAATACTCAAAAGATTTTTTCCATATAAATTAATGGTAATTGCTTCTTCACTTTATGCCATTTTGGCTTATGAAAGATTTCACAGGAACACACTATTTTGGATAGCAGAGGAAACATGTATATGGTTTGGGAAAAAATTACTATGGTAGCTAAATATGTTTGCAGTGCACAAAATATTTTTCATCTTTCTTTAAAGATACTCTTGGTAAGTTTAAACAAAGAAAAAGCTGTTTGATGAGTTTATAATTGCATGTTAAAACTGACACATAACCCACATCATTGCATAACCCATAATCCTTTTCAACATAATCCACGTGTTATCTGCACAAAACTGTGGTAATCAAAATTTTGAATGCTAATTATTTTGATTTACATTTTACAAAGCATTAAACAGATCCAAATTCAAAATATTCATTTTACCTCTTTTTATATTAATCATTATTTCTATTGATTATATCTGTAATTAATATCAAATATTTAGTATCTTGCTGAGAACTACTGAATTATAGTTTAAACTAATTAAGTCAATAATCTGATAGTTTGATTCTACAGGTAGGTATGCAGCCATCTGATGTTAATTTCAATGATTACAATAATGTTTTAAAAATTTCAAAAAAACAATCATGCTCAACAAATTATTAGATATTTGGTATTATAACGACCGAGTTGAAATATGCAATATTTTGCAAGAAGTATTTTATAATTCATAAAAAGTATAGTTTTCTATCAATCAAAATACAAATATATTATCTACATGACTAGCATGTCAGGTGGAATAAAATAGTATATTAATGTACTACTAATTATATTAATACTGCATAATATTTTTACACAATATTAACATAATTTAAACATTATTATTTATACTTACATTTATCACTATCATCATTACTACTTGATAATGAATCTCTCAAAAGCATTTCTTTTGCTACTTCATTTTGAGATTTTGTCATCACATTATTGAGCTGCAAAATAATTTTAAAAATTTAGTATTAAAGTTATGTCTCACTTTGTTAAAGTTATGTTTGAATGGTTATATGCATATGTTATATACCAGGTGATCAAATAAAAATATGCTCACAAGACACAATGATAAATTTGATAATAGTGTAAGCTGGTGTGAGATATTGGACCCGACTACGTTCATTCCCGACGTCACGTCTCGAGGGTGATTCGTTTCTCGGAGGCATTGACCGGTAAGGGCCGTTGTTATTTCGACGGACGGGTGAGTTCCAATTCCGTCGCTGATTTTGGTGAGTCTGGGAGTTCAATCGCGCGGAGCGATGATTAGGGACATTCGGACGATGCACACCTCGCCGGGAAGGTGAATTATTATAAGGGTTATTATGGTTATAAATTCCTGTAGGACCACGCCGCATTAGAGGAGATCGGGTTGTGCCTCGGGTTAACCCATCTATTTGCACTTTGAGGTTGTCCAATGCGTTAGCTAGCCGAGCTAGATTAACCTCTGCAGAGCATTCGGGCACTCGTTCATTATCCCGAGCAGTGATACTCTCGATCATTTCCTCACTAATAGCTATTTTTAACGCGTCATCAAATGTTTCCGGTTCTCGGGACATTACGCGTTGCCTAATTCGTATTCCGATCCCATTCATAAACTGCGCTTTTAACCTTTCATCTAACTCTTTCCTCTGGACCCTTTGAATAATAGCGGTTTCCGTAGCATCTGCCCCTGGCTCCTGTGGAATTTCTATTTCCATCGCCAAAGCTTGAAGACGGGCAGCATACGTTTGTACGTCTTCCTCTTTAGATTGTACGCATGAAAAAAATCGGTTTAGTCGCACCGAAAACGGCTCCCTTTCAAAACGCCGAATTAATAACCGTTTAAACTCATCGAAATCGTCAACTTCCTTTATTTGCCTATCTTTTCTTACAAATTCCCGGGCGATACCAGTAAGTTTTAACTTCGCAACTGCCAGCATTTGTGCCTTTGACCAAGCAGCTACCTTCATAACATCAGTCAAGGAATCAAAAAAGTCCGTTACTCTGGGGCCTCCGGTCTCTCCAGAGAATACGGGTAATAGAGGAATAATGCCACCTAACCCTCCTAGCGTGAGAGGGGCCGGCGCTGGATTAGGATTAGGGGCCGGATTAGCAGGGTCCTCCACGGGATGGGGTACGTCCTCCATTATCTATATTTACTAAATACTTATCTACTAACTTCGGGGTTTCTACCCTACTCAAATCGAATCGTCGTATTATTCGAATATAGCCTCTTCGCCTTACCAACAGTTCGAGAGAGTCGAACCCCACTCCTGAAAAACCAATATGTGAGATATCGGACCCGAGTAATTACTGCTGTTCATGTCCGACAATTCACTCACGAGTCAGGAGATAGCCGTTCAAGGTTATTACCCCGTAATAACGGGACGCGGTTTCTAAGAGCGGTAAAGGAGGTGAGAGGGTCGTCGGTTTGGCTTAGGCGATATTTGAATAGACAACAACCAAAATGCAAAGAAAACGAACATTTAATAATCCATTTAGACTAAATACATACAGAACTTTGGATACGCTATTCTAATTATATTCTTTCGCGTAGTACCGAGAGAGAGTTTACATGGTCAGCGATCATACCTCTGGACGAGTTCAAGTTCGTATTCGTCGTTAACCTGGTGCGGCGATCGGCGTTTGGCTCGGATTCTGTCGGCGATGAGTTGGGTTGATCGAGAGGTGATTGGATCAGGTGTAGTTCATGAGAGACTTTTCCGACCCCGTTTCGGATGGCAACCCCCTTTTTATATTAGGGATCACATGACTACAATTACCAATCGTACTTATCGGTGATGACTATCATCAGAACTCCGGTTGAGAATCCGGTGAGGGAGGAAGTAGTTTCCGGCAGAAAAAGGATGAGCATCCGTTTAAAGATTTTGATAAGATCGCGTACAGGGTTCAATACAATTTTATGTGGCTGGGCCTAATATTCGGACCCTTACACTGGCCTTGCTTGCTATTACTGCATACTTAATGTTTACTGCTGCTACATATTACAAAAAGTTTTAAATCTTGAACATTTTTTTACTAATAATGCAAAGAACAAGAATAGAAATAATAAATAAATAAATCAAAAACAATCCTTACTACATAAGGCTGAAATTTTTTCATAAAAGCAACTTATGAACAGAACTACTAAAACAACCCAGTCTCTTGAATTAAACAGCCTATAAATTTTGTAGAACTAATTTCTAAGCATGCTTGAATGTTGAAGTCTTTTCTCAAATAAATTTTTATTCATGATTTTTTTTGTTACACATACTTCATAAACTGACAACTTATTGAAAACTTAGTAAACAAATGTACCTTACCTGGTAGTACCTGGTAAAACTAGTAAACAAATGTACCTTTCGTAGGTATAAATGGTTCAAAATATTTTTACATAAACTACTCATCTTAATTTTTCACAACTTTTTATTATAACTTTCTATGAAAATCTATGATCTGTAATAAAAGCACTTATCACAACAATTAATTTTAACAGTAATAATAATAATAATGTGTTAATATTACATTTTGCAGTCAGTGATGGGTGATTCAGCCAGACAACTCTAGTTTGTAATATTGTTGAACTCTTCACTCTATTTCTTTCTCATGTAAACTTTTCATTTGATCACACAGTATATATGTATTACGCATGTATATATACGTATGTATTACGCATGTATATATAGACATATGTATTTATTACATATGTCTATATATAAAATAACTATGAATCTTATTGAACTAAAACCAAATAATAAATTGACACATTTTATCAGATTATTTTTATGCTACATGGAAATTTTATCTATAATTATTTTTCTACATAATGTAAAAAATAGCCCAATAAAATCAATCAGGTTAATTATTTGATGTGTTAAAAAGATGCCAAACATGATTATTTATTTCCTGTAGTGTCCTGTACATATCAAAACCTTCATTATAACTAAAATTTAAAAACATACCAAGTTTTACAAGATTCATTTTACCTTTAACTTTTCTTCTTCAATAATATCTGTTGATTTTTCTAATATTTGTTCATCAGAATCAAACTCTGAGTCTGAAGAAAATATTTCTCTACGTTTTATCTTCTGTGTACGTTTTTTTGATAGTGACGTATGGCTTA